CTTTGACATCTGTGCGATATACTGTCGCCTGGCGCTGGTGCACCTGCACTGTATGCACGCACAATTATCCAAAAATTTATAACTCCCACAATATTTCTTTACCAGAAATCAAAACTACCCCTTTCATTCCCTAATTCTTTCTCCTATTTCGTTTTTCCTCACCTCCGGAGAGCTTCCTCTCTTCTGGCGTCTCCGGATGATACTGCTGCTCGGTACTGATGCACCTTTTCCTTCCAGAACTCCGCAATTTCTTTTTCAGCGTCGCTCACATTATTGCAATTGACGACATCACATCTCTGCCAGCCAGCTAGCGGCTTGCTGTCTTCGTGCTGCACATAAACAATCTCCCACAACATGTTTCGGTATAACTCCTCCCAATCATTAAAATATTCCGCCAGATACTCAGTGAACTGCCTCACAGTGCTGGTTATCGTGTGATGCCCACTCGCCGTAGTGATCTGCAGCCCAACCAGCGTCTTCGGATTTGAGTCCACAAAGAAAAAGCCGTCCACCAACGGAAAGTTTTTGACCTTCGGTTGATACAGCACCCAGTACTCTATGGCAATCCGATTAGAAGGGTTGTCTGGTACTTGTAAAAATTCTTTCCTGGTGAAGCTTTTGTAAGAATACTTTACCAGCGCACAGGTGTGTGATTCACCTCGTCCTGGTGGCCTCAGTTCCTCAATTTTAGGTCTTATCGCACTTAGGAAATCCTCATTCAAAAATGCGGATACGGCATACTTTTCAATAAGATATGGTAAGAGATAATCCCAAATACTCAACAAGAGAAAAATAAAATCGGACTGCTTCATTTCTCTTTTCATCTTGGCCAATGTTTTACGTTCGAGGTAAGGAGATATCAGTACATTCAAAGGCGATTCAATGTTGTCTTCTTGTCGTACTCGGACAACCTTCACAAGCTTGTGAGACACTTGATTGCCGTCGCACGGTTTGCCACTCCCAATACCAGCGTCATACTGTAGCATCGAAGGAGTGATTGCTTCCACGGCATCTTCACACGCGACAAAGCGAGCCTCACACTTTTTTTCATTAAGATGAAGCGGAGAATCGGCCCCACTTTATCCATGCGATCC